ATATATATATATATATATATATATAAGATCACTTTGACTCCTTCACCATCCTAAGCCGAGACTAATTTAGTCCAGGTAACCTAGTCATTGGCTGGTTATTATTATTATTATTGGGATACTGTAGCACGGAAAGGTGATCCAGCCGTCCTCAAATGTGGGAGCGTTAAAGCGTGCAGAGACTCGTCTTCTCCAGCCGCTGACGTTCTTCATGAGATTATTTTGTGCTTCAGTAGAGTCAGAAACAGCAGCTCACGCGGTTTCCATAACAAATATTAAATGTGCTCCAGTAACGGCAGATGAATCTGAGGTTAATAGCACTTAATGTCCTGGAAACACGTTATTTATAGAGAAGCAGTATGCAGATATGTAGAGCGTATGTGAATAGAAATGTCCAGAGATTCCCAAACGGCTTCATCAGCTGAAACACTTTGAGCTGAAATATTGTCTTGAAGTCCCCCTTAAATATTTTAATAATTTAACAACACGTTCACACGATTCTCTGATGTAGTTCAATGGGCGCATGACATTCAGATCAACAAATACAATTTTTTTTTTTTTTGTAGTAAGTGCCTCATTTTGTTTTTATTTTAAAATTTATTTTTATTTGACTTTTTAGTTTTTATTCAGTTTGATTGTTTTAAATTAAAATCAGTTTTATTTATTGATTGTATTTATTTTTAATTTTCCATTTTTAGTATTTTATTCATTTGTAATTTTATTCATTTAAAAATTTATTTTATTTCTACATTTTTATTATTTTATTTTTTTTATTAATTAACTATTTGAATTTTACATTTTAATTTTATTAATTTTTTTATTTTAAAACAATAAAAATATTTTATTTCAATTTTACTTGATTTAAAATTAATTCTATTTGAATTTTACATTTTCATTATTTTAATTATTTGTGATTTTTAGTCAATTTTTTTTATTATAGTAATTTTTTATGATTTGTTTAATTATTAGCTTTTCATCAGCTCAGTTTGGGGAACCTTCTTTAAATAACCCATTGTTCAGGAACAGAGAGTGTAAATGGGTGAAGTTATGAACTCATCTTATTAATCATTTATGGAGCAGATGGTTCACAAATCTGCTTTTTCCAGCAGGACGAGCAGAAGCTGGAGGGATTGTGGGTAGTAAAGCATGAACGCAGCGCAGGTAAGCGCAGGTGCTGAGCTGCTCGGAGCTCTTGGGCTGGGTTCTGATGTTTCTCCGTCGTTCCTCTGAGCGTCGGTCGAGGTGAAGAAGCTTCTCGAGCAGTGGAACAGATGAACAGCGCCTCGAGTGTTTGTTTCCGCGCCTCGGGTCGCGTTCTGCTCCGCGAGCGCATGCTGTCAGAGATGATACCAGATCAGGCTGTAAATGCTGAAAATACACACACAGGCTCAAATAGAAGCTGTGATTCACGCTCAGACGCCGATGATCCGCCGGTCCGTCTGCTTCTGAGGTGAGTGACTGCTGCTTTCAGCTCTGTGTGTTTCACTCAGGTCCTGTAGTGCGCCACGCCGCGCGCTGTGTTCAGATCAGACCAGGTGATTGTGAGCCAAAGACCAGCTTTCCTGGACTGAACTAGTCTATAGGGAAGGTAGAGTGGACAAAATAGACTTTTTTCTTTTTTTTTTAATTAAAAAAAATTAAATAATATAATGCTACATTCATTAAATATACGCTATTCTACTATATATTAAATGTTATGAAATATTTAATACATTTAATACTATATTAAGTATTACATCTAAAATATTTGAATACTGTATTAAATATTATATTATAGATATTATTGTTCTGATGTAAATAAAATACTCTGAGTTTAAATGTGTGTGAAATAAAAGGAAAATATTGGTTTTTATTGTTAATGACAAATAAAAATAAAACCATACAAAAAAAAAACATTGAAAAACAAACTTGAAGTAAAATAAACAGAGAGAAAAAAAAGAAAAAGTAGGTGTATATATATATATATATATATAATATGTATGTGACCCTTAAAATTATTTTATGTTAGTTATTTGCCAAGGCAACATTTCTCATTTTCATTTAGTTTAAGTTGATGTAATAAAACAACTACAACTAAATAAAATAAAACTAAAAATGAAAACTATATAGACATATTTAAAAACAAAAAAAGACAAAAACAAATGACAAAATTTACTAAAACTTTAACTAAAATTAAAATGAAAACAGAAAATATAAAAATAAAATCTAATTCAAAATATAAATAAACTATAATAGTATCTGAGTGATGCTTAAGTTGCTACGGTGTTTGGGAGATTGCTGTGACGTTGCTATGCGGTTGCTAGGGTTTTCTGGTGGTTAATGTTTTAGGTGTAAGTTCACACACACTCACACACACTTGCACTCCTCTCACACACTCTCACCCACACTCTCACACACACTCTCTCACACACTCTCTCACACACACTTGCACCCACACACACTTGCACCCACACACACTTGCACCCACACACACTTGCACCCACACACACTTGCACCCACACACACTTGCACCCACACACACTTGCACCCACACACACTTGCACCCACACACACTTGCACCCACACACACTTGCACCCACACACACTTGCACCCACACACACTTGCACCCACACACACTTGCACCCACACACACTTGCACCCACACACACTTGCACCCACACACACTTGCACCCACACACACTTGCACCCACACACACTTGCACCCACACACACTTGCACCCACACACACTTGCACCCACACACACTTGCACCCACACACACTTGCACCCACACACACTTGCACCCACACACACTTGCACCCACACACACTTGCACCCACACACACTTGCACCCACACACACTTGCACCCACACACACTTGCACCCACACACACTTGCACCCACACACACTTGCACCCACACACACTTGCACCCACACACACTTGCACCCACACACACTTGCACCCACACACACTTGCACCCACACACACTTGCACCCACAAACACTTGCACTCACACACACTCTCACTCACTCGCGCGCACACACACACACACACACACACAGGAAGTGCTGCTGTTCTACTTATAGACCGGCTCACCGCACAGAATCATGAGTGTGTTTGTTACAGAATCTTGTTACTTTGTATCACAGCGCTGCTGAATGTTGCATTCTGATTGGCTGACAGCTGTTTCAAGGCTTTAGATGTTCTACAGTTGCCATGAAGCTGTGTATTACTATATAGTTGCTATATATACGTGTATTTTAGTTTATGATTAGTGTTTGAGTCTTTAGTCATTATTATTGGTTTTATGTAAGCAGCACGCCTTTATGGCATGTTCTCGTTTAGATAAGTGTGTGTGTGTGTGTGTGAGTGTGTGTGTGAGTGAGAGTAAGTGTGTGTGTGTGTGTGTGTGTGGAGTGAGTGAGTGAGTGAGTGAGTGAGTGAGTGAGTGAGTGAGTGAGTGAGTGAGTGAGTGAGTGAGTGAGTGAGTGAGTGAGTGTGTGTGTGTGTGTGTGTGTGTGAGAATCTGACCTGTGTCTGTAGTTGAGAGGAAGCTGCGGTGCTTCATCACAGAACATCAGGTGTGTTTGACAGAGAAAGACTGATCTCAGGTCAGTCTGATGCGAGCGTGTAGATCCAGGTCTGATGCACATTAGAGTCTGATGAGTGTGTTTTCACGAGGATGGTTGTGGCAGTAGTTAGCGAGGCTTTTGTCCAGACAGATGACGCTCAGTTTGAGGATGCGGGACGGTCTGTCAGTGATCAACAGAAATGATGTTCTCAACTTCTGTGTCACTTTGAAATTTTGCCTGATGGAGACCTAACCGGTTGAAATGCTGCGTCTTTTCTAATATGTGTGGTTTTAATTTCAGTGTGCAGATGTGCATGTTTTTCTCTTCTTCTGATGTTTATGCACCTGTATTATTCAGTAGAGCTGGACGAGTGATGTTTGATGGCTAGCAGTATGTGTGTAATATATATATATATATATATATAGCAGCTCTAGTGCCCAGCGTGGTTTTCAGATGTGAACATCCGTTGTTTGAGAGATTGTTCAGACTGATGTGTCTTTACCATAAATGACATGAGAGAGAGAGAGAAGTAATGACATAATGACACAACGAGGGAATTCACTTGTTTCCCTCATAAGCACAGACACGGTTGTGAGGTTAAACAGGTAAATGTTGGTGTGTTTGTGCTGTCTGCAGGGTGTGTAAGCGTCTGAGTGGCAGTAATATGGATCTGGAGCGTGTGGGTCAGCAGGGGTCAGTGGAGAATCTCAGCCAGTCACTGCGAGGACTGAACTGCTGCACAAACGCATCCAGCGACACCGGTGAGTTACACACACACCCACTCCATTAGTTAGTCAGTTAGTTATTTACCTTAGTGTTTTTAATCTATTTATTTCTTCATTCATTTATTTGTTTATTTTAATTTATTTAATTATTTTTTATTTAATATTCATTCATTTATTTTATTTATCTTATTAATTTTTGTTTATTTAATATTCATTCATTTATTTTTTTTTATTTTATTAATTTTTGTTTATTTAATTATTCATTCATTCATTTGTATTTATTTTATTAATTTGTATTTATTTAATATTCATTCATTCATTCATTCATTTGTATTTATTCATTTAATATTCATTCATTCATTTGTATTTATTTAATATTTTTTATTTATTATTCATTCATTAATTTTTATTTATTTTATTAATTTTTGTTTATTTAATATTCATTCACTTTTATTTATTTTATTAATATGTATTAATTTATTGTTCATTAATTCATTCATTTGTATTTATTTATTTAATATTCATGAATTAATTTGTATTTATTTAATATTTTTTATTTATTTATTACTCATTCATTAATTTTTATTTATTTTATAAATTTGTTTATTTAATATTCATTCATTTTTATTTATTTTAATTTTTATTTATTTAATATTCATTCATTCATTCATTTGTGTTTATTTTTTTTATTTATTTAATATTCATTCATTCATTCATTTGTATTTATTTATTTTTTTTATTTAATATTCATTCATTCATTCATTTGTGTTTATTTTTTTTATTTATTTAATATTCATTCATTCATTCATTTGTGTTTATTTTTTTTATTTATTTAATATTCATTCATTCATTCATTTGTGTTTATTTTTTTTATTTATTTAATATTCATTCATTCATTCATTTGTATTTATTTATTTTTTTTAATATTCATTCATTCATTTGTATTTATGTAATATATATATTTGTTAATATTCATTCATTCATTCATTACATTTTATTTATTTATTTATTTTATTAATTTTTAGTTTTAATTATTAATTTAATTAAAAAAAAAAAATTTTTTTTATCAATTTTAAAATGTAGGTTATGTATTACTATTAGTATAATTACAATTACAGGATTTTATTTTATGAAATCCCAATTAAATATGAATAAATACAAAACAGATAAACACAAAGTATAAGTTTTTAATATATTTTTCACTCACAATTTCTGCCTGATAAAATATTTCAGAGCTTAGAATAACTAGTTAAATATTATTCATCATAAAATGCCCATTCAGTTTTAAGATTTTATGAATTTATTGAATTTGTCTTGAAATCACACTTTTAAAATGAGGCTTTTTTCCAAAACCTGGTTGTTTAAAGACAAAAACTAAGAATTAAAATGAGAAATATCTTGATTTTTATCATTTGAAATCATTTTAAGTCATGTACAAGCTCTTCCGAACTCTGATGCTTGTGTTCTTCATCAATACAGCTGTCCCAGAATGCATTGCAACAGGCTCTTAGATGGCAGGTGAAGTCGAGGGAAAAATGTATTATAAATAGATTTTATTCCGTACTGAAAAAAAAAGCAATAGGTCTAATTAAAAATTGAGTATTTTCTGTCATGTCTGTCTGTTTGAGTCTTTAGATTGCGTGAGTGACCATTTATGGAGTTTGTGCTCATTTTAAATAGTTTTAAATCAGTGTCATGAGGTGTGATGCTGTCTCTGAAGGGAACGTCCTGTATAGGCAGCAGAGGGATGTTCACTAGGGTTTGATAAACAGACTTCCTCTCCTGATAATCAGCCGTGATGAGAAGGGAACATCAGATGCGGTTCTTCCTCCTGATCTTCTCATCAGCTTCATATGCTGTCGTACTGTAGCTGTATGTAGCGTGTTCCCATAATGCACCGGGGCGCAGAGATAATGGAGGGTTAACTAGAGGAAAGCAGTGTTCGTGTTTATCACGGGGGGTTTTCTGATGGGTTTCTCTCATGATGTCACTAATCTTCATCTCCAGGCCTTAACACGTCACACAAACCACAGAGAGACTCGTCACATGATCTGTGAGTGTGTGTGTGTGTGTGTGTGTGTGTGTGAGAGTGAGGGTGTGTGTGAGTGACTGAGTGAGTGTGTGTGTGTGTGTGAGTGTGTGTGAGTGTGTGTGTGAGTGGGTGAGGGTGTGTGTGTGTGAGTGTGTGTGTTTGAGTGTGAGTGTGTGTGTGAGTGAGTGAGTGAGTGTGTTTGAGTGAGTGAGAGAGTGTGTGTGTGTGTGTGAGTGTGAGTGTTTGAGTGTGAGTGAGTGAGTGTGTGTGTGAGTGAGTGAGTATGTTTGAGTGAGTGAGTGAGAGAGAGTGTGTGTGTGTGTGTGTGTGTGTGTGTGTGTGTGTGTGTGTGTGTGTGTGTGTGTGT